GTTACAACAACACTGCACAAGGAGGATACTCTAGGTAGTTTAAATGTACCAGTGAAAGAGGATTGTCATCAACTGATCGTATGATTGATATGCTAACATACTATATAGACACCTATAAACTGAGAGGATGTGTAGCCCCTCTGTACATTTATATAGTATTTCAGTTTGGCAGCTAACGTCTAACATACTAAAAAATTAAATTAATACTGTCAGATTAAAATAACAGCAAAAGTTTAGTGTTAAACTCAACAAAACCTTACTGAAGTCAATAGGATTACACAGCTGTGACAGAGTAAAATTCACCCCCACCTTTAAAAAAAAAACAACCCAGATTATTAAAACTGAAAATGTTAAATGCAACTTTCTATTTGTTTATATTGTAGATTTTGTGAATTTCATTCAGTAGGGATAGTTATACCCGTCAGTTTTACTTCAGTTTATAGTCTGTTTCATTTTTTAGTTCTCCTGTACTATCCTAATGCTGCAATGTTTAGTAGAGGAATGTTTAAATCCAGACAATTATTTTCATGAAAGAGATTAATCTCCTTAAAATATCTATGGAAGATTTTGACAATTAAAAAAATGTGAATTTCCCCCGATCTACTCATTCCCTGTAATAACAAAAAACAAACAAAACACACACACCAAAACCTCCCACACTTTTGCAAAGGTTTTTCCACTGTTTTTCCTACATTAACTTTCCTGCTGCTTCTTTCTGTATAAGGTTAGCAGTAAATGTACTGTAAACACAAACAGAAGAACTATGCCTTGTATTTGGCTATAGTATGGGCTCTTTTCAGTGTGAAAATTGTTACCATTAATTTATTCAAGTCTTTAAAGAGTTTAAAATATTCTTTAAGAATGCGACCGAGTGACTGACCATGTTTTTCTTTCCTTACAAAATAGGCAGCACTGTAGCAGATCTTTGAACAATTCTTCTGGAAGACCACTATCAAAGGCACATAAATGTAATCAGACAACTTGCTAACTTGCAACCATTCCTTCCCTCCCAGAAAATATCCCATTCACTGTAGAAACTAAGGCCAAAGCATCAGCCTACAATTTAATAACATTGTTCTTGGTGTTTCATCAGTTTCCCAACTCCGCCATCTGGCAGATACTCTGATGGTTTGGGGATCTACGTTTCTTCCTTCCCCAATCTTTGGTATTACAGAGGACCAGACAACTCTTTTCATTGCATGTCACCCCTGTTCTTTAATCACTGTGTACTGTTATTGTCAGTTGTCAGATTTATTTTTTAAGCAGGAGTCTTTCCAAGCTGAAGGCAACTTTTCACCAGCTCTTTAAGTTCCAAGTGAAGGAAACCACCATGTTACAGCAATATTATCATCCCCATTCTGCAATGCCATGTGACATCTGGGTCTCATCTTTAGTTCCTCAGGCTAGGAACGTGGCATAAACACCAGGCTGCTCTAGCCCCCACAGGGGAAATAGAGAGTATCCCATCCCTTTAGCCTATGTAGGTTTGAATGTCCTCTCCTACACTACTCACCTGGGTGGATTTAACCGTTTTTAAAAAGTGTGTTTATGAAAGAGAAAATTCCTTATGGGCCTCTGAGGTATGCTAGAAACCTTTGTGTACTTTAACGATAGTCATTTAGACCTAAGCAAAAGGAAAAGATATGGTTTAATGTAATTACAATAATTAGATGCTCGTGAGGGTTCATTGCCTGTGATCAACACTTTGGAGACGTTAAAGCCTAGGATCCAAAAAAAAACAAACTTTTGTTTACACAAAGATTCTCTGAGGGGAGCGCTGTCTGTTTCTTAACAAACAAGCTTCATGGGGAGGGAGATCTAACATGGGTGCAAATACATTATCCCAGTCAATTCTCCTGATTTGGGGGCTCGGGGAGAGAGAAACTGCAGTAGAATTTCTTTGTCTGTTGTTCTCTGTTCTCCACTCTACCTCTCAGGAATCCTGTTCCTTTTTTCCCCATTAGCAGCTGGCACAGAAGTGCAGTCAGCCAGGGAGGCTGCCTTTTATCCCCCAGGGTTAAGGTCAGAGGGACTGTTAGTCCTTAAAGCTACAGAACCCCGCAGAGCCAGTTATGCAGTTTTCCCAAGGAGAGAATTACCTACAAGGCATCAATTTGTCAGCACAGCAGCAAAGGAAGCAATTTATTTCTAACGAGCACAGAGCACGAGGGGCACCCTTGATGACATCACCTGTTGCACAGGCTTCAGCCCCAGCCATGGAAACATCCCCAGAGGAAGCACACCCTTGTCTGGGTCATGAGGCAAGTGTTGTGACTATCACAAACGTTCCCAGTCTGCTAATCAAATAAAGAGAACCTTTTCCTAGCAGTTTTGGAGCTGGGAAACCTTAGTTCTATTCCCTTTTTTTGCTACTTGCTGTATGATCTTAGCCCAGTCACATAATTGCTCCTTGCTTGCTTCCCTATCTGCAAGAGGAAAATAATACTTAAGTACAGAGCTTTAAAAGTGACCTGCAAAGGGAAAAATATGGGTGTGTTTTTGCTTCTTGATAATGAATAAAGGTGGTCTGTTTTTTCTTGTATTTTTTTTTTAACCTTATAGATTTCAGGAATGTTGCATCTTATTTTCCCTGCTTTAGCTGGAGGAGTCCTCAGATGAGGCTGCTATGGACTTAAAGCTTTCTCAGCCTTCAGCTGAAGGGTGCTGGTTTGAATCTTTATAAACAGCATATTCCTCCCAGGCATATTGTAGGTGTTAACAAAACACAAGTTTGAAACAGTCTAACTAAAAATCACTTCCTGCTCAATTAATCAGGTTTCATTTGCATGACTTTTCTACTATTATAAACCTTCTAGTTCTCCAGTCATCCGGAGATTCTTAAAGGAAAAAATAGGGTAGATAAGATCTGAATTTCTAATGTAAAAAGAAAAAACAAAACTGACCCCTCACCCTCAGGCCTTTCTTCTCCATAATAAAGTAGCACAATAAAAAAAAGGAAGGGGGGGCTTACTAATCCACATTTTCCCCCTTTGCCAGTCACTTAAGATCACTACACAAAGGGCGCTGTATACTGTAAGTATCAAACTAATACTCAGTTTCTCAGAAGAAATTTCTCTAAAGATTCTATATTGAGCTCCTAAACAAGGGCTCCAGGCCTGCAACTGGGTTTGCACCAGACCATTTGTCTTCAGTGGGGTTCTGTGTGTACCCACACAAGATATAGTTGTAGGTTCAGGATCAAGAGCATCAGTCCTGGTCTACTCATAACTTTTGTACCCATTTAACTTTCGGTTAGGGGTGTGTGGGGTTTTTTGCTGATATAGTTATACCAGTACAACCTCTGCTTTGAGAACACGGTTATATTTGCATAAAGATCAGGGGTGGGAAAACCATGGCCCACGGGCCGCATCCGGCCTGGAAGGGCTTTGGATCCGGCCAGCAGGATTGTCAACCTCCACATTCCTGCGGCCCACGGGGGAGGGGAGGCAGAGGGCTCCATGTGTTGCCTTTGCCTGCAGGCACCACCCCCCGCAGCTTTTATTGACCGGGAACAGGAAACCGCGGCTAGTGGGAGCTTTGGGGGAGGTACCTGCAGGCAAGGGCAGCATGTGGAGCCCTCTGCCCTCCCGTCCCCCAGGGGCAGCAGGGACCTGGTGCAGGCCGCTTCCGGGAGCAGCACAGGGCCAGGGCAGGCAGGGAGCCTACTCTGTCCCCAGTGTGCACCGCTGCCACCCCGGAGCCACTCCAGGTAAGCAGCGCTGGGCTGAAGCCCACACCCCAAACCCCTCCTGCACCCCAACCCTCTGCCCTGAGCCCCATCCTGCACCCCAACCCCCTGCCCTCAGCTCCCTGATGCACCCTGCACCCCAACTCCCTGCCGAGACCACTCCCGCACTCCCTCCTGCACCCCAACCCCATGCCCTGAGCCCCCTTGTACACCCCTCCTGTGCCCCAATCACTTGCCCTGAGCCCCTTCCTGCACACTGCACCCTCTCCAACACATCGCACCCCCTCCCGCACCCCAACCCCCTGCCCCAGCCCTACATTCATGGTTCTGCATGCAATTTCCCCTCCCAGATGTGGCCTTCGGGCCAAAAGTTTGCCCATCCCTGATAAAGATGCTTTATCCTGGTATAAACTTATTTCCCTTCCCATAGCAGAAGAGCTATAGCAGTATAAGCACTTCATATTGATATAACTGCATCCACATTAGAGGGGTTGTACTGCTTTAATTGTATGGTTTTCAAACAGCAATCAATTTGCAAACACCTAGAAGATAATAGGTGATAAGTAACAGCACAGATTTGTCAAACCAACCTAATGGCTTGTTACCCTGTCAAAGAAAGCTTTGTAGATAGGAGGGAAGCAGTAAATGTGGTAAATCTTGACTTTAGTAAGGCTTTTGATATGGTCTCACATGACCTTCTCATAAACAAACTAGGGAAATATAACCTACATGGAGCTACTATAAGGTGGGTGTATAAGTCGTTGGAAAACCGTTCCCAGAGGTTCAATCAAGCTGGAAGGGCTTATCGAGTATGGACCCATAGGGATCAGTTCTGGGTCTAGTTCTGTTCAATATCTTCATCAATGATTTAGACAATGGCATAGAGAGAGTACACTTATAAAGTTTGTGGACGATACCAAGCTGGGAGGGGTTGCAAGTGCTCTGGAGGACAGGATTAAAATTCAAAATGATCTGGACAAACTGGAGAAATGGTCTGAAGTAAACAGGATTAAATTCAGTAAGGACAAATACAAAGTCCTCCAATTAGGAAGGAACAATCAGTTGTACACATACAAAATGGGAAATGACTGCCTAGGAAGGAGTACTGCAGAAAGGGATCTGAGAGTCATAGTGGAGCACAGGCTAAATATGAGTCAACAGTTTAACACTGTTGTAAAAAAAACAAACATCATTCTGGGATGTATTAGCAGGAGTGTTTAAGCAAGATATGAGAAGTAATTCTCCATGCTCTACTCCACTGATTAGGCCTCAACTGGAGTATTGTGTCCAGTTCTGTATGCAATGTACTTACATTTGTCCCCGTTTCTCTCCAATCCCAGGTTCGGCTCCCACCTGGCCACACTTTGCAGTCCTTATAAGTTGTAGAACAACCTTTCACCATCATCTGACCCCATGAAAGGGAAGCGATTTCAGGAGAAGACATCGTCAAATTGAAAAGGTCTGAAATAAACAACGTTATCTACATGGCACCATAACATGTATGGCGCTTATCAGAAAAATAAGTGTTCATGCCCTGAGGAGCTTGAAATGTAAGTAAATATAGATGTTATTCACAATGAGTGCTGAGGAAGGAAGGAAGGATAGTCTTGTGGTTAGAGCACTGGATTGGGGCTCAGGAGATGTGTGTTCAGTCTTCAGCTCTGGCAATGGCTTCATTTGGGACCTCGGGTAAGACATTTAACCTCTTGGTGTCTCAGATCCCCATCCGTAAAACAGGAATGATACTACTTCTCTATCTCACTGGGGTTTTGCAAAGATAAAGCCATAAATTCTTGGGTGATGCTCAGATACTATGGTAATATCAACACTTAGATAGATGGTTATGGTGCCTAAGATGAGCTGGAGGAGGAAGATAAAATGCAAGATACTTGCCTTGTTAGTTTTAAATCAAGGTTCAAATGTATTCAGTAGAACAAGGAAAGACAACTGTATGCTATACAAAGGACTAACTTTTAAGAATGTTTGCGTACTGGATTGTTTCTTCCACCCTCGCTTTTTCCCGCTTGTGTGTGGGGTCATTTTGCAGAGAAGGGATGGCCGAAAGCTATTACACCATTCTTTTGTCAGTCTACTTTAGGCATTTCTAATGCACCTATCACAGTCTGATACAGGCAGTGATCAGGGACAGTGGAAGATACTATAAAGGAACAAAATGCTCCCTTTCCCACGAAACCAGGAAGGGCGGTGGGGGAGGGGGGGGGAAGCCAGACTGTCTTTACAGCACCAGAGATGGATCTCTGATATGAATCTTCCACCAGACCTCAGCTCATCACACAGATGATAGGGTGGCAGGTAAACAGAAATGCTTTAGACTGGCTTGATAGACATTAGACCACCATCCTAGAGATTTGTCTTTCTGTCCTTCAGTTCGCGAGTGGGGTGGGCTGAAAACAACCAGTTTTCTATTGAAATGCTATCTCTGCACTGAAGAGAGCTCTGTTCATTCTGTTTCAACTAATCTGAAGAGTGGACTCTCTTTATAAAGTGAATAGTTAAAAGGCCCCTTAATTAAATGTATGGAATTCAACCACCCACTTAAAAACTACATTCTCTTCTCTAGTCTATCCAGATTTCCACCCAGAGAAACATTTCCCCATCCTGAAGTTGTGTTAAATTATTCAAACTCAACAGCAAAATCCACTACAGAAAGCCTGGTGTTGCTAATTAATGAGAGAGTCCTCACAAAAGAGCAATCTCTGGATTAACAGATTTTCAGTCCTCTTGGAAAATCTTAAGGAAAAACCTGCTAACATTTGCACAAAGGCTCAAATAACATTACAGTAACCTTGCAATACAGCCCCTCTCCCCCCTTACATACACCAAGGCAAACTATGACACCAGACAGACAGTAGATACTCTTCTTTGACTGCCAAGAATGAATTTGAGTTTGCTGCCTCAAATGTCACATCAAGAGCAAACAGCACTACTACTTGAGAGTCGGCAAAGGCTTTAGACTGCCTCAGCATTTATGCTTATAGCATGATAATAGGACAACTTTTTTTTTTTTTTGCCTCCTTCCGAAGCTAAGGACAAAGTGCCTGATACTCTTGTTCGCAGGGGATGTCCCCTGCATAACACTACAGCTCTACCAGATCTATGTTCTCTCAGTACATGTCTGCAATCAATGCCATGGAGCCAGCTTCTTTTCATGTGGAGACTCAAATCTTCATTTCTGAGAGGTATGTGAAGTGAGGCAGCAACAGAAGAAGAAAGGAAGAACAAGGACAAGTCTCAAGACAGAAAAGATCAGTCACTCACCTCTGTTCACCGACTCAGACCAAAGAATAAAAGCAACAGAGCAGACCATCTAGAAGTTAGCTCTGAACAGGAGAGTTTCTGCATGAAATATTTGTGAGAGTTTACTAAGAAACAAGTATTATGGAGTTGCAATAGCTCGAGATTATACAGAATGGAGCTATAGTTTTCTTTAGATAGGTAACATGTGATTGGGGGTATGAAAAACTTTCCATAGCAAGAGAGGTTGAAATAACTGGGTCTGTATAATCGAGCGCCAGAACATGATGTGAATGGGATACAGAACGTACATCAGGAGCTCCTATTTGCCTTTCCAATAACATAAGAATAAGGAGGCATTTACTGAATTTGAAAGACAAAACTTAAAACTAGTTAAAGGAAATATGTATCTATTTGGAATAATTACTCTATGGAACTTATTGCCACAAGATATCATTGAGGTAAACAGCTTAATACAGTTCATGAGGACATCTAAAGTTGTATCTAAAAGTTGCATTTAAAAACAATTATATTTAGAAGGAATATGTCTCCATTATTCTGGGCACTATCCCTTACCTGTCCACTATGGGTTGCCCTGTATGTTCTTTTGAAACATGAGGTACTGTCTAAGGCAGGGGACTCAAAACATGCGGCCCGTGGTGTTATTTCCTGCGGCCCGCCCGCCAAGCTCCCCGCGCGCCTCCCCTACCCTCCCGGAGTTATTTCCTGCAGGCCACCAAGCTCCCCTCCCCCCAGCGCGCTGCATCCCCACTCCTCTGCCTACCTCCAGGCGCTTCCTGCTGCCAAACAGCTGTTTGGCACCACTTAGCGCTTTCCAGTAGAGATGGAGTAGGAGCGGGGAGCCGCATGCTCAGGGGAGGAGGCAGAGAAGAGGCGGCAGAGAAGAGGCGGGGATTTGGGGAAGGGGTTGGAATGGGGGCAGGGAGGGGGCGGAGTTGGGGTGGGGACTTTGGGGGAAGGGGCAGGGCCTCATGGAAGGGGTGGAGCCGTGGGGGGCTTTTGTACCTTCATATGAAAAGGTGTCAGTGATGCGGCCCTCGGGCCAATGTACTAGTCCTCATGTGGCCCTTGTGGTGATTTGAGTTTGAGATTCCTGATTTAAGGTCAGAGACCGGATACCAGGCCCCCTTCTGATCTTCTACAGCAATTCCTATTTTCCTATGAATTGCAACTGCCAAGGCAAGAGGTAGTGGAGGAATGGATGAGGATTCCAGCCATGACATGCGTAACAGGGGCAGTGTTAGGGAGCTGATTAAGTTAGGTAGATTAGCAAACATAGGCAATATAGGAAGAGAGAGACTTAAAATCAAGGATGATGCCTAGGTTACAGACTGTGTGGAGGCAATGTAAGAGGTTATGGCAGGAGACGTAAGTCAAGGAGGGAAATGGAGTTGTGCTTGGGGATGCTTTTCTTGCCCTTTCACGGTCTTTGAGACATTGAGAAAGTAGGTTAAGATGAAACCACATGTTCTGCATATTCAAAACAGGCAGAGACAGTGGACAGGAAGGAATCATTAGAAATATCAGAGGATGTGAACAGTTGGTAACATCAGCATAATAGTGGCAAGTACATTTAAAGTCTGACAGAAGTTCACACAAGAAGAAAATAGAAAGAAAACAGCAATGGGCCAGGAATTAAATCTAGTGGAACTCCAAAGAAGAGGTGTGGGACCAGATCTTTAAAGTTACTTAGGCACCTAAATATGCGGCTAGATGCCAAATAGGATTTTCAAAAGCACCAGGTGTTATACCAATAAATTAAAAAAGCAGGATCTTATTAAAGGGAAAAAGGCAAAATGCCACACTTATTGTGAATACAGAAAGAATCATAGTAAGCAATTAATTATAGCTATAACATTCCATTCAATTTCATATTTATTCACACATTCATACACACACACACACACACACTCACTCAGGTTCTGCAAGGTTGTTATCATAGTTACCAGCCTTAGAGTTGCTCATGCCAAGCCACTGGCCAGGTGGCCTGGACATGAGGAGGGAGCAGGGCCTTGTCAGATGCTCATCTGACGCTCCTGGAAGTTGGTTTGCAGAATCAGACCCCAAAGTTCTCACTTTCTAGAGTCCATTTTTATAGGAATTTCTTCCTATGCCAGTCTATGGGAATTGCTTCATCATGCTGTTGCTGAATCAATCAGCAGATGGCACATTTCTGTCGGCTCCGTACTGCCAGATGTTATCTTGTTCTTTGGTTCTCCCATTCGTGAAGCTGTTGGGTGGATTCCAGTCTGCCCTCCGGGGGTCCTCTGGTTATTTCCACTTGACACCTTCTTCAGCCGATGGACACTGAATTCTTAGGCTGGCACCTCCCTGATCATTCAGTTATTATCCACACCAAGCATCCATCCACATACATCCTCTATCTCTATTTTAATCACAATTGTTAACAAAGCGAGATGAATACAACAAAAGGGCGGGGAGTCTCTGGGTACTGTTTCTGTTGTTACAGGGTATTGCTTTGAGTCTCTCTCTGTGTGAGTAGTTGTTACAAAGGATTGCTTTGAGAACACATTCTGTCTTAGAATGACAGGTTTCAGAGTAACAGCCGTGTTAGTCTGTATTCGCAAAAAGAAAGAGAGTACTTGTGGCACCTTAGAGACTAACCAATTTATTTGAGCATGAGCTTTCGTGAGCTACAGCTCACTTCATAGGATGCATACCGTGGAAACTGCAGAAGACATTATATACACACAGAGACCATGAAACAATACCTCCCCCAACCCACTGTCCTGCTGGTAATAGCTTATCTAAAGTAATCATCAAGTTGGGCCATTTCCAGCACAAATCCAGGTTTTTCTCACCCTCTGCCCGCCCCCCAAACTCACTCTCCTGCTGGTAATAGCCCATCCAAAGTGACAACTCTCTTCACAATGTGTATGATAATCAAGGTGGGCCATTTCCTGCACAAATCCAGGTTCTCTCACTCCCTCACCCCCATACACACACAAACTCACTCTCCTGCTGGTAATAGCTCATCCAAAGTGACCACTCTCCCTACAATGTGCATGGTAATCAAGGTGGGCCATTTCCAGCACAAATCCAGGCTTTCTCACCCCCCCCCCCTTCCCGGGGACACACACACAAACTCACTCTCCTGCTGGCAATAGCTTATCCAAACTGACCACTCTCCAAGTTTAAATCCAAGTTTAACCAGAACGTCTGGGGGGGGGGGGGGTGTAGGAAAAAACAAGGGTGGTGTAGCATTTGCTCAAGAAACTTCCTGAAAAAGCACAAGATCAAATCCGCACAGACACACCCCTGGAACCCCGACCTGGGATATTCTATCTACTACCCAAGATCCATAAACCTGGAAATCCTGGGCGCCCCATCATCTCAGGCATTGGCACCCTGACAGCAGGATTGTCTGGCTATGTAGACTCCCTCCTCAGGCCCTACGCTACCAGCACTCCCAGCTACCTTCGAGACACCACTGACTTCCTGAGGAAACTTCAATCCATCGGTGATCTTCCTGATAACACCATCCTGGCCACTATGGATGTAGAAGCCCTCTACACCAACATTCCACACAAAGATGGACTACAAGCCGTCAAGAACACTATCCCCGATAATGTCACGGCTAACCTGCTGGCTGAACTTTGTGACTTTGTCCTTACCCATAACTATTTTACATTTGGGGACAATGTATACCTTCAGATCAGCGGCACTGCTATGGGTACCCGCATGGCCCCACAGTATGCCAACATTTTTATGGCTGATTTAGAACAACGCTTCCTCAGCTCTCGTCCCCTAAAGCCCCTACTCTACTTGCGCTATATTGATGACATCTTCATCATCTGGACCCATGGAAAAGAAGCCCTTGAGGAATTCCACCATGATTTCAACAATTTCCATCCCATCATCAACCTCAGCCTGCTCCAGTCCACAGAAGAGATCCACTCCCTGGACACTACAGTGCTAATAAACGATGGTCATATAAACACCACCCTATACCGGAAACCTACTGACCGCTATTCCTACCTACATGCCTCCAGCTTTCACCCTGACCACACCACACGATCCATCGTCTACAGCCAAGCTCTGCGATACAACCACATTTGCTCCAACCCCTCAGACAGAGACAAACACCTACAAGATCTCTGTCAAGCTTTCTTACAACTACAATACCCACCTGCGGAAGTGAAGAAACAGATTGATAGAGCCAGAAGAGTTCCCAGAAGTTACATACTACAGGACAGGCCTAACAAAGAAAATAACAGAACGCCACTAGCGGTCACCTTCAGCCCCCAACTAAAACCCCTCCAACGCATTATTAAGGATCTACAACCTATCCTAAAGGATGACCCAACACTCTCACAAGTCTTGGGAGACAGGCCAGTCCTTGCCTACAGACAGCCCCGCAACCTGAAGCAAATACTCACCAACAACCACATACCACACAACAGAACCACTAGCCCAGGAACTTATCCTTGCAACAAAGCCCGTTGCCAACTGTGCCCACAAATCTATTCAGGGGACACCATCACAGGGCCTAATAACATCAGCCACACTATCAGAGGCTTGTTCACCTGCCCATCCACCAATGTGATATATGCCATCATGTGCCAGCAATGCCCCTCTGCCATGTACATTGGTCAAACTGGACAGTCTCTACGTAAAAGAATAAATGGACACAAATCAGATGTAAAGAATTATAACATTCATAAACCAGTCGGAGAACACTTCAATCTCTCTGGTCACGCAATCACAGACATGAAGGTCGCTATCTTAAAACAAAAAAACTTCAAATCCAGATTCCAGCGAGAAACTGCTGAATTGGAATTCATTTGCAAATTGGATACTATTAATTTAGGCTTAAATAGAGACTGGGAGTGGCTAAGTCATTATGCAAGGTAGCCTATTTCCCCTTGTTTTTTCCTACACTCCCCCCCCCCCCCCAGACGTTCTGGTTAAACTTGGATTTAAACTTGGAGAGTGGTCAGTTTGGACGAGCTATTGCCAGCAGGAGAGTGAGTTTGTGTGTGTGTGTGTGTCCCCGGGAAGGGGGGGGGGTGAGAGAGCCTGGATTTGTGCTGGAAATGGCCCACCTTGATTACCATGCACACTGTAGGGAGAGTGGTCACTTTGGATGAGCTATTACCAGCAGGAGAGTGAGTTTGTGTGTGTATGAGGGTGGTGGGGTGAGAAAACCTGGATTTGTGCTGGAAATGGCCCACCTTGATTATCATGCACATTGTAGGGAGAGTGGTCACTTTGGATAAGCTATTACCAGCAGGAGAGTGAGTCTGTGTGTGTGGTTTTTGGAAGGGGGTGAGGGAGTGAGAGAACCTGGATTTGTGCAGGAAATGGCCCACCTTGATTATCATACACATTGTGAAGAGAGTTGTCACTTTGGATGGGCTATTACCAGCAGGAGAGTGAGTTTGTGTGGGGGGGGGGCAGAGGGTGAGAAAACCTGGATTTGTGCTGGAAATGGCCCAACCTGATGATCACTTTAGATAAGCTATTACCAGCAGGACAGTGGGGTGGGAGGAGGTATTGTTTCATGGTCTCTGTGTGTATATAATGTCTTCTGCAGTTTCCACGGTATGCATCCGATGAAGTGAGCTTTAGCTCACGAAAGCTCATGCTCAGATAAATTGGTTAGTCTCTAAGGTGCCACAAGTACTCCTTTTCTTTTTGTCTTAGAATGTACAAACACAATTAGCAACTTGCAAGTTTCACACATAGAGGGAGAGAAACAGTACCAAAAACCAAGAGACCTCTTAATTAGTAATACCCTGGAATTTAAACTATGGGGAATCAAACTCATTTGTGATTTTCATACAGAACTTCTTTAATATGATCCAACACTAGGCACCTAACTCCCAGTGGAGTTAGATCTTGGTGCAGAGTAACAAGAGGCAGAGTGATCAGAAAGGTATGTATGGCAGGAGGGAATCAGAGATAACTGTGCATTGAGATGGTGTAGGAGAGCAAAGGGGTTCATAAAAATCCAAGTCTGGCCAGAGATCAAGGAGGATGAGAACAAAGGAGTCAGTCACCATCAAAGAGTTTTGACTATGGAGGAGAGCAGTTTGTAAGCTCTGATCAGAGGACAATAATATTTCCTCAAGACTGCTGAGAGAGGGGTGGATAAATAGGTGAGATAAGGTGACTTTTTTATGCACCTGTAAAAAGGGAACAGTAGAGATGGTGCAGCCGTTAAGAGTCAGGGTTATGGGAGGTTTATATCAAAAACAATGATTGGACAGTTATATAGGGAATGGGGGGGGTAGGATTAAATTATAGAAAAGAAGGGGATCAGAAGAGGCGGCAGATTTAGTGTTTAAGAATCAAAAAGTTCTGGTTTAGGAAATGATTAGTTTAGCTTCATTGTTTAATCGGGAGAAAGTAAACTAGTGATCAGATTGCTCCAGGCATAAGGGGATCATGACAGAAGGCACAAAGCTGAGAATGGTAAAAAGAAGTGAAGGACAAAGAACTGGGAGGACTGTATGGAGTGGGGTGGGGGTAATGGGAGAATCAAGAACAGAAACACAGTGGGGCAAGATTACATAAAGCCCTGTATGGGGAGGATAAAACACAAATTAATTCTTGAAACTTATTTAAAATATCTTGTTGGAATGATACATGGGACTAATTTCTGTCTCCTTCCTCTGACATTTGATGGTGTGTACTAGTTTTAGGACAATCACACATTTGGTATTTAGCAAGTTGAATCCTGGACCTGTCCTCGAGGTAATGGTCTAGTGATAGTATTACTGATCAAGAACCTATGTCCCCATGGGGCCATCTGGGAGAAAATAGTCCCTTCTTACTGCATCCTAAGCAGTGTATCTGAATGTCAGCACCCAGAAAAAGAGCCTAGTTATTGGGAATCAGCCAACTGCCCATTATAGGTGCATTCAAGCAGCTATGATAGGTTGCTAAAGCAGAAGGAACATACATTCTTTTTTCTACTGCTGTTTAACTAACATCTGATTCTGCCACCTTTATGCACAATAACTATTTATTGAACATACTTATAATTAAGGCTGCAAGTTTGTCACTGAAGTTACAGATTCCATGACCTCTGTGACTTCTGCAGCAGCCAGGCACCTGGACTGCTGGGGCAGTCTCAGGCCACTGTGCCCACAGCAGCAAAGTTTGGGTGTGGGAGGGGGAGGGTCTGGGGCATGGGATGGCGTGAGGCAGGCTCTGGGCGGTGCTTACTTGGGGGGCTTCCCAGAAGTGGTGACATCCTCCTTGCTCAGCTGCTAGGTGGAGGTGGGGTCAGGCAGCTCTGCACACTGCCTCCGCTCAGAGTGCTGGCTTCGCAGCTCCCACTGGCTGGGAGCTGCGGCCAATGGGAGTTGCGGAGCGGTGCGTACTGGTGGAGGCAGTGTGCAGAGCTGCTTGGCCACGTGTCTGCCTAGAACAGAACTGAGTGAGGGGGCTGTTTTTACTTCCAGGGAGCCTCCCAGCCAGGTAATCACAGCCCAGAGCCCTCCTCACCCTGTCCCATGCCCCTGCCCCCTACCATACCCAAACTAAGTCTGCTGCTGCTGGGGGAAAAAGGGGGAAGGCACAGAGGCAGGTATGCAGCCTGCCAGCACCGCCAACCCGCCCCCCCCCCAGTACCAGTGGGGTCCCAGGCTCTGCACTGCTGCCTGTCCCCTCCTCCAGCACCGGTGGGGGTCCTGGGCTGCATGCTGCCCCCCACCACCACCAGCAGGGGTCCCAGGCAGCTCCTGCCCCAAGTTTTAGTCATGGATATTTTTAGGAAAAGTCAGGGACAGGTCATGGGCTGTGAATTTTTGTTTACTGCCCATGACCTGTCTGTGACTTTTACTGAAAATAGCCATGACTATAAGTAAGGCTACATTTTAATCACTGGACTATCCTTTCTTATAATCATATCTTACTCTGCTTGTAGCCCCACCAGCTGAGCAGAACACACCCCAGCATGAGGGTGGCAGAATCAGGCTCGCAGCAAGCAAGATGTTTTGTTGTTGTTTTTTTTTGGGGGGGGGGTGACACCTCTGTAACAGAAGACCGGATGGAATGTTGGAAACAGGATGGAACATTGGCACTGGCAGATTCTGTGACAGTTAGCTCCTCCTGAGGGGGAAACCCCATAAATCCCTCCCCTTCAGCGCCCCCCCCCCGTGGAAACCCCATTTACCCCTCCCGCCCCAGCCCCCTCTATGGAAACCCCATTTACCCCTCCAGCCCCCTCTAAGGAAACCGCATTTATCCCCCACTCTGGGGAAGAGAAGAGTCCAATTTACCCCCACCCCAGGGACACGCCAGTTACCTCACGCCCTCCAAAGCCACGCGCAGGGCGTCTGTCTGTCTGACCGACCGACCGCCCCCGGGAAGGAAGCTCCTACACACCCCTCCCCACCCCAGGGCAGCCCGTTCACCTCTGCCCCTGCCTGAGGGACGGGGATAGGCACGCGCCCCACCTCCCGGGGGCCTGTTCTTACCTCTCCCAGCCCCCGGCGGTGTGTTTACCGTCCCCTCAGCCAGCCTGCCCCTGCCCCGCCCCCGGGCAGCCCCGCCCCCTTGGCAACGCCCCGCCAGCGGCCCGCGCTCACGCAGCAGGCCCACCTCCGCTCGCCCCCTGCCGCGAGGCCGCTGCGCCCTTGGGGGGGGGGGGACCCGCCTCTCCGCCGCTCATTGGCCAGCTCCCCGACACAGGCCGCGCCCCCCGCGCTCGGAGAGTAACAAGAGCCGACTCCTCCGTCTCGATCTGATTGGCTGCCCCGGATTCCGGCCCCGCCCCCCCTCCCATCCTCCCTCCTGCCCCCGCCTTGTTTTCGTTCCCGTGTCACACGAGGCGGGCAGGGGAGAAGGCGGGTAGGGCCGCTCTGGCCGGCGCCCCCTGTTGCATTGTGGGATAGTGGCGCCGGGGAGCGGGGTCCTCCAAGCGCGGCTCGCCAGCGCCCCCCTCTCTTCCCTCCCCGTCTCCTTCTCCATCCTCAGGTCCAAGATGGCGGCGGTGGCGGCTCCTACGGCTCCATCTCCGCCTCCCCCGCCCCCGCCGGGCCCGTGCTGCCCCGGCTCGTGGCCGAACTTCGCCGTGGTCTGCTCCTTCCTGGAGCGCTACGGGGCGCTGCTGGACCTGCCCGAGCTGCCCTTCCCCGAGCTGGAGCGCGTCCTGCAGCCGCCGCAGGAGCCCGGCGACCAGGGTAAGCGGCCCGGACGCCCCCACCCCTCACAGACCGGCGGGGGGGGGGGGGGCTGGGGCTATCCCCCCCCCCGCCCGTGGCCCCGGGGGAGGAGCGCACCGAGGGGAAGGAGGAGCCTGGCTTTCCCGGAGTGGAGCGGTGGGGGAGGGGAGAGTTCTGCTGTGTCCTTACCCCCCCACTCCCGGGTCCAGGGGGAGCAGCCGCTGGGGCGGGAGGTTTCTTTCCCCAGCCCCACCGGAGGGGTATGTGAGGGGAGAGCTTCCTCATTCCGGCGCCTGCCCCCTCCCGCTGGGCCCTGGGGGGGCTGGGAGTCCCTTCCCCGTGGGGCTTACCCCCTCCCCTCAGTGGGGGTCTCCCCCCACAGGGGTCGGGCCCCGTGTGCTGCTGCCCCTGCGGGCTCTGTGTGAGGGAGAGGCGAGACCAGACCCCCCCGTGCAGACGTTGCAGCCCCCCCCCCCCGGTGTGTGATTTTCCTATTGGGTTGGGGGCTAAGCGAGTCCCGCTCCCCACCTGGACCGGCCGAGGGAAGGGTTACACGCTCCCTTGTCTTTCAAGCTGCTCCTCGCTCACGCCGGTCTCCCCCCGTCCCGTCCCCCCTCCAGCAGGCTGCAGGGAATGGGCTGTTGACATGTTTGGGGTGCCGGACTCCCCTGTTCCCCGGTCCCTGACGTGTGAGGTGATGGCGGGGGAGGGGGGCAGGGCAGAGCAGCAGAAAAGCCGGGGGGGAGGAGAGACGCACGGATACCGAAAGGAAAGGTGCTTGTTGCTCTTGGTCTCTGTCTGTTATTGGTGCGGTGGTGGTTACTTGTGATCTCTTGCCACATAGAGACAGACGAGGAGCCTCAAGGCGCATGCTCCCCCGGCCCCATAGAAACTTCCTGCTGCTAGAGAATCCCAGCTCGGGGCTGCTGCTGGTCCAACAGCCCCCCGCCATAGAGCCCCTTCCATGTGTATATATTGTAAATCGGGTCCACGGCATCGGTCTGTTCTCGTGAGAATTCTTGGCTCATACAGTGCAAACATTGTATTTGTATGCTTATGGCACCCACAAACAAAACAAAACACCAGCCAAGGTTCATTTATTTACTACCTCCTTTACATGTCCAGTATCACTTTTTTTTTTCATGCAAACAAGACACTTCTAAATGCAGTGGCCATTGCCTGGGTCTTGCAGCCTACACTACTACTTTCTCAAATAAAATAATTGTTCCTACCTCCCCAAGACTTCAGTGTGGTTTTTTTTTTTAGTATGTAAAGGAATATTTTTAAAAAGAGGCACTATGCTCAATCTGACTGAAGTACAAAAAGTAAACTAATAGCATTTGTGTTGAAAATTAAAAATCAAATTTAAAGTTTTCAGTTCTAATTTAAGATCTTGTAAATTCTGTATAAACTGACTTTTAACCTTACAATAGTCTTTAATTGCATGAGTAAAACACTTTTTTAATAGACAGTGATAATCACCAAGAGTTTTCTTTATAGTTTATTAATTGAAAGCTTCTAGCTGTGTCTTACAGGAGAGTTTATATATTGGACTGTATCTATAAGATGTTACATTATTTCAACCCACTCCTGGTCCCTTAGATCTGAAGGAAGAATGGGAAGCAAACCAATAAATATTTTTCATGTGTGACCCAACATTGAAAGAAATTTGAACACTTAAAAACACTATCTTAACTTTTTTTATTTTTTGGACATTTATTCAGACAAGGTTAAAAGGTGCTTGTGCTCATGTTTATGGTGGCGCTGTCTTTCAGGGAAGGAAATGTGTGGAGATGGAAAACAAAAGCTAGATGACCATCTTTTAGGGTTTTTGGGAAAGCTTGTGTGGTGCTTATATGACAAAAGGAAAAAACAAACCCTTGAACTACATTTGTGAGGACTATTGTCCTCTGCATGTGTTGTACTATTTTATCTTATCAAAAGATGCATCTGTATATTTTCTGTAACACTGTTGTGAAGACTAAATTTAATGTCCATTATTTTATAAAATTATTTTTGAGCCTTTGTAAACCCTTTTTTTTTTTAATGACATAAGTGTAAAACAAATTTTGTTGCCTGTTACTAAATGGACTGTTAGAACTGGAAAATGTTAATCCTTTCCCCCTAATACTTGCTGTTTGTTTACTGTATGCAATTCAGCTTGGGTAGCAAAATTAAGCTGGCTAATTTAAATGTGTAATCAGTTTCACTTTTTATGCACTAGCACACTTGTGCAGTGTTGAGGTTTACAATAGTGCGGAGTGAATATTTAAATCCAAACAGTTCTAATGAAAAACATTTTAAATATTGGTTGTGTTTAAGAAGTTTTTACAAAACCTGTTTTTGGCCCTAACCTACCTGATAGTGTCTTAAAGGCTATTTCTACACTAAGCGCTAAGGGGGGATTCCCCACTCACATTATATGTACTTGTACTAGCTTCAGGACCGCTAGCGGGCTAAAAATAGTAGAGTAGCCATGGTAGCATAGGCAGCGGCGAGTGGCAGCTCGGGCTAGTCGTGGTTAGTATGTATCCACAGTGTTCTGGTTTGAGGAGACTTAGCGTGAATATGTCTAACACGAGCTGGGAATCATACCCTTACCTCCTAATGTAAACATTGCTGCTGTCTTAATTCAGGCGCTTTTAACACTTACTACTAAATCCTTCCCCCACCAAAAAGGAGAGAAGAAAGCAAAAAAATTCATAGGGAAAAAACAGTGGCAAAATGTCTTGTCTGCACATTTGGGGGGAGGGAAGGGAGGGAGGAGTTCTATTGGTGTATTAACAGTGATGCTGTAGTTTCATAGTGAGCACTCTATCACAAATCTCTCCAAAATTACTTCCAAGCTGAAATTTTTCATAGGCTTATGGCCTAAGACACAGAGCCTTTTGGAGCATATGTGTAAAACTTGTTTAAGCAATTTATTTTTCATTATATTACATACAAATCTTTATTCAAATATTCAGGTAGAACAATTATATATGAACTCAAGAATGAACTGTTCTACATTCTGTAGTTCTATAAAAGCAATCAAGAAAATCCTTCCTGCTAATGAGTGAGAATGGACAAGCTATAGGTACTTTTGTTCTAAGGAAGCAAGGTATAATTTCTACTTTCTGTTCCCATTATCAAAAAAGGATGATTTAGGGGTGCAGAGGAGAGATTTGGTAGTTGCCTAGTTGACATCAAATAATATTGATTCTGATATGTTACTGTTGAAGTTTAAAAAGTTACTACTGCTCAGTCAGCCTTTGTGCAGTACTATATTGCCTCTGTATTTTACTATATCAAGAAATATATTGATCACCTCTATACCTAAGTATTAATAGCTTTCTTTTTGTAGTCTGATCTGGTTAGATATTCTAATTTACATAGCACCAACAGTATGCTAAGTGCTTTGAAGGCAAGTACTAAGACAAGGCCTTCCCCAAAGAGCTGACTTCTTCCTATATTACAGTATACAGGTGAAGGATGGGACATAATGACAAACAATGTGATTGAATGATGATGTTTTGAACATGCCAATTCAGTTTCATGATTGTCTCAGTTTTATTTTATATTTAGGTAGGATGATGAGGTGAAATGGTGGCCATGGAAATAGCCTGATTCTCAGAGAAAATATATGTTAAAAAAAAAAATCCTTTTTAACTTGTACTGTTAGTGGCTCATTTGGAAGTTGACATTCATTGAACAAAATAATGAGACCCCTGGTGTTTTAGTGAATTACTGCTAAGACCAGGGCCATCCTTAGATGTGTGGGGCCCGGGACATTAGAAACTTGGTGTCTATCTGCCGGGGGATGCTCCCCACTGGCTCCACCCAGGCCCTGCCTCCACTGCACCCCTTCCCTGCTGAGTTCCACCCCCTCCTCTGAGCATGCTGCGCCCTCCCCCTCAGCACCTCCTGATGCCGCAAAACAGCTGATCTGCGGCTGACTGTGGGGACTGGGAGGGAGGGGGAGGTGCTGATTGTTGGGGCCCACCAGTAGGCAGGAGGTGCTAGGGGGAGGTTCTAATAGGGGGGCTCTGCCTTGCTAGTCTGCTGCTCGCCTCCCCGTTTGCCTCCTCACCCTGCTTGCCCTCCTGCCTCACCTCTCGGCCCACGGGGGCCCCCCAAAGCATGGGGCCCGTGGCGATTGCCCTGATTTGCCGTACCCTAGCGACAGCTCTGGCTAAGACAAATAATTTGGTCTTTGTTAAAAGGCTTTTCCCTCTTGTAATGCTATATCTAAGGCAGCTAGCATTGTGATCATAACTATAACCTTGAAAGCTTGGTTTCAAAAGAGGAGAGTGGAATATATAGCAGAATTACCATAATCTTGATAGCTGCTTTTAGCAGTTGCTTGTGTAGATGCTGCTGAGTGTGTAAACTGGTGTTTGTTTGCACTGAGATTCGATTAAAAAGAAACCCTATATTGGTTAATAAATAAATTCTTTATAAAGGCAGGGAAATTTCATTAAACTTGATATAAACTGTAGTTAGTGGATGGGGATGGGGTGGACTCAAATCTAAGGTACCAGCTGTGGATCATCCTACAATGTACCTCAAGAACCTAGCCTTTTTAAGCAAACTGTTTTTGCTTCCAGTGGCAAAATTGTGCAGATTGAAATGATTTGTCGTACTGGAACTCTACTTGCAGTATTGACCACATCATACATTGTCTTACTAAGAGTTCCCCTTGCAAAAGGGAGATGGTGGTATGTTTTTAATGTAAAAAATACATGTGACTGGAAGGGAGTAAGAACACAGCACTATATCTAGTACAGTATTTAGTCAGAGAAATATCAGATACTCTCTATTGTGTTTGCAAATACTTGAGAGTCCGTATAAATGTTAATTATTCACTGAATCACCTGTGAATGAAAATATTAGTAGTGTTAGCTTGCAAAACAGAGATCAAATTTTACACATGACTATGCAAAAGACTTGCTGGTTTGCCAGGTTCCTTGGTGTATGAATGAGTGTAAATGGCATGTTTTGAATTATGTTAGCGATTATCAGCTTTATAAACCTTCCTT